AATAGGGATGCGGGGCTTGGCCAGAGACCACCTGGGCCCAGGCCTGCCAGGCTGACTTAGCATTGTCCCTGGCCCCCTGTGCATGCCCGACCCCCAGTCTGAGGCTGAGCACCGCCCAGCCCCTGGTGCAGAGCACCTTATGCCTGAAATGTTGCAAACTGTCGCAAACATCTTTTGTCTTATGGCTCTACAGGGCCTGTGGCTGCATTTGGGGAGAAGCTTCACTTGGCATCCAGGATGTGGCCTCAGAGTCACTGCTGCCCACAGCTGAGGACCCTGGACAATACCCCCGTCCTGGACTTCCTGGCCATGGCATCAGAGAACTTGCCAAGAGACAGCACATGTTGTGGGTGGAGGATGTGGCCCACCAGAACAGGTGGTAGACAGAGGACATTGCCCATGAGGAGGCAGGGGACTGACGCAAGGAGGTGTGGGACCAGGAGCACTGGGAGTTCTGGGCACAGGTCCTGGCCCTGGAGCATAAGCAGGTGGTTGCCCTGTGGGAACAGAATGCCATTCTGGCCCAGGCACTGCAGGCCATGGAACATGACCACTGGGTGCTGGACACCATTCTGGCTCTAGCGGTTGCCTTCATGCCACCCACTTCCCGGCCCCCAACCCTAGCCCTGCCTGCCCCTTGGCATCCATGTACCCCCCCACACCCTGCCCTGGGTCCAGTGCCATCCAGCCTCCCCGCCTGGGCCTAGCCCTGCTGCTCACCCCAGCTCCACACAGGAATGGAGCTGGTGCTGACTTCAGCAGGGCCAGGACCACATGCTGGCCCTGCTGGCCCCGGACACTGAGTGCCAGAGGGGGAGCCACCTGTGCTGGGGGAGTATCAGGCACTGTCACCCCTAGATGAGCCCCACCACTTGCTGCACTTGCTGTGGCGTGACCACCAGTGGAGGAGTGGCCAGAGGCTGGGTTGCTGGTCACCTGGCTCTGTTCCCTAGTCACCCCTGTCCCAGGGTCCCCCACCCCAAGACAGAATAAAACAGGACCTTGTACAAAGTTTTCATGGGGAAAAAGGTGTTTTATTGTTGGTGAGTGTGTAGGGTGGGTGGTGTAGGCTCTGTTTGTTAGGAAGTGTGGGGGAATGGGGACTGTTTGATGTGAGGGAAATAAAAACTTTTTCTTTTGAGATGTGTCTGCATTGAGTGTGGTGCTGGGGGTGAGTGGGGGGTCTGTGGGCAGGTGGGCTAGAGCAGGGACTGCTGAAGGAGGTGGTCAGCCAGCACCTCCCACACCTGGTGTCCTGGCCCCTTCTGGCAGGTGCACAGCTCTCCTGGGGCCTTGGTGGTGGGGGAAGCTGCTGCTGCCATGGGTGATGCTGCTGCTTCCAGGTGTCCTCCATGAGCTGCACTGTCTCCATCCAGACTTCATAGAGGAGCTTATCCTGGGTCTTGTAGATGTTATGCAACACACAGGCTGCAATGATGACTTGGGGGAGGTTGTTTTTAGTGAGCTCCGGGCAGGCGGTGAGGATGCGCCAGTATCCCTTGAAGCAGCTGAAGGCACACTCCACCAGGGCTTGGGTCTGGCCCAGGCAGCTCTTGAAGTGGGCCTGGTGGGAGTTCAGGTGACCAGTGTAGGGCCACCAGGTAGGCAGGGTCCCTGATGAGGAAGGGTGGGATCACCACGGCACTCAGCTGGAGGTCCAGCACCCCAGTGCAAAACACCCACTGTCCACCAGGCCCAGCAGGCTGGAGTTCTGGAAGCCACAGGCATTGTGGGCACTGCCCACTCAGCCAGTGCTCACATGCATGAAGTCCCTATGGTGGTCCATGACAGCTTGGAGCACAATGAAGTGAAAGCCTCTCTGGCTGTAGTAGGGGCAGTTCCCGTTGGGCAGACAGGTGATGGGGATGTGGGTCCTGCTGAGGGCCCTGATGCACTGGGGGAATCACAGGGCCTGGAACCCCACCACCACCACCAGGGGGTCAGGCACATATAGCACGGTGTCCCCCAGCACATTCTGGAGGGTGCTGCACACCTCCAGGACAGCCTCTCCAATGGTTGCCTTGCCCACACCAAACAGGTGGCCAGCGTACCACAGGCTGGCAGCCATGGGTAGCTTAAGCAGGGCAAGGGGCCACCTCAGTGCTCATGGGGAGAGGAGGCCACATGTCAGTGTGCTGTTGCTCAGGGTGGGGCCAGAGCTTCTCCAGGAGGTCCTGGAAGGTGGCTCAAGTCATGTGGAAGGTCTCCAACCATTGCTCGTCATTCCAGGTATGCTGACAATGTACAGCCACCAATCCTGGCTGGCTTGGTGGGCCCAGAGGTGGTGGGGATAGAGGCCCAGGATGGCTCTGGTGGCTCCAGCAGTTGTATCCTGATGCCCGTTGGTGGTGTCCCTGCTGGGGTCCAGCCAGGCATATGCGGTGGAGGCAACAGGTGCGTGGCAGAAGCCTGGCAGGTGGTCACTGTGTGTGTGGGAGCCAGGAGGGAGAAAGCTGTGGGCCAGGCAGTGGTCAGCACAGTGGGCCATCATGGCAGCCAGCAGGAGCTGAGGGCACTGTTTGTCACTGCAGGGTGGGAGCAGCCATAGTACTGGGAGGCATAGGTGGGGAGGAGAATGCTGCCATGTGCTGTCCCTACGCTGAGCACACAGTGGTCCTGGAGGTGGAAATAGCTTGCCACAGAGCAGCCAGCAGGGCTGGCTTTTGAAGAGGGCTGCTAGCTGCTGGCAGCTGCAGCCAGAGCCTGGAGCTCCCCTCTGGTGGCAGCAGGGGCCCATTGCAGAGCCCTGGGAAGTGCGAGAAGTGTGGCAGCAAATCTGCCCCTACTTCCCTGCATATGTAAATGTTTGCCTGGCACCATTTACTTACAAGTAAACTTGTGCCACATCAAATGCACATGTAGATGTGCTTAGTGGAGACCTCAAAAGGCTTTTATTGGTGAAATAGAAATCATCTTCAATATCTTCTTCCACCACAAGAAAAAGCAGATCAGACACTGGCATTCAAAGGGTCAGAAAACAAAAGGAGTCCTTTGCTTAAAGAAGTCTACCGGAAATCTCCATTAGGGAGGAAAACTCTACAGAAGTTAGAACATGGTCAAGAAGACTGGCCAGATCTCCTTAGGGAATTGACCCCTAGAGCCTTGTTGCACATTACATTTATGACATGTTAACGACATTCAACATGCTAACATCTGAATATTCAAACAATAAAATACATGCGAAGTACCATCTTAGCAAAATTTGGAGTTTTCTGATGAAGAGTATCTCCAGATCTTATTACCTAATTAATGTTGTGATAACTTCTGACTTCTAACATATAATCAGGAGACTCCAGTGTAGGGAGAGGAGTTTGTTGTCCCAGCCCCCCATGCCACACTGAAGCCTTGAACTGGCCCTGGTACAGTGCCAGAGCTAGGGGCAATAAACAACCATGTGTTGTTCCTACTCCCTACAGCACACCACAACACTGGAGTTTTTGAGGGCTTTGGCACTTAAGATGCATTCTATTTAGATTATAATAAACATTACTGTGAGACTACTCAGAAAACTTTCTAACTCATAGCAATTCTTACTGCAACCTAAATAAAATACAAGTATTATAGTTCAGTGTTAATCATTTGGAAGTTGTGACCTAGTCTTGGTTTTTTTTTAAGAAAGGGAGATGTGGAGGGATGAAAGAGTTCTGGTCCTTCATACCCACTACAGTATAAGTTTGTACTAGAGGGACAGTAATAAAGACTGGAGAGCCCCTGCAGGGGGGACTGATTATTAACCACACTATGGCAGTATGTGTGTCCCTCCCTCACATTACAGTGACTGCAGCATCTGAAGGAGGAAGATAGGAGAGAAAAAACTCAGCAAATAAATGTTGGTGAATAGAGAGACAGAATAGGAGTGGGAAGACATAAATGTTTTATTAGGCTGGAGGTGTCTAGAGAAGGGATAACTTGCTGTTACAAGATAATCCTACAGAAGAAAAAGAAATACGATTTCTGTGTATATGTAGACAGTATTAATAGTGTGCCAGAAATAGCATTAAAAATACACAGTATAGGTTTTGCAGAACCAGTGAAAACTGTTCTCATTGGGCATAGCTACACAAGCTACTAATGTGTAGCCATTCATGTGCAGCTTATTGCTCTGGAGTTTATTGTTCCCGAGAAGCTCCCAGACATGCTGTTTACAAGTGCGCCTGGACCACAGCACATTGAGACGGATTGGAGCAGTCCCAGCTGCCAGCCCGGGGCTAGTCTATTTCCGCCCCCCCAAAATATACAGGCTGGCTGGGGCACAAGGGTGCTTCAGTGTGGAGCTAGCCAGCAGGCAGCCCCCACACTGAAACATCCTTGTGCCCAAGCCATCCCCATCAGTGTCTACAAGTGCACTGCTGTGAACAAAAAAAAAACTCCACAGCACAGCAGGAATTGTGTATTTACAATGACTATCCTGCTGTGGAGTTTATTAGTTTTGTGGACCCTAATAGGGACGCATGTGTAGACATTGAGATTTTTACTGTAGAGCTAATTAATCAGCTCCATAGTAAATATCTCATGTAGACGCGCACACTGTATACTACATATGGCTCCAGGCACATAGGTCTTTTTATGAGGGTCATAACCATTGTCACAGCACTGTACTGGATTTCAGATAAATTGTTCTTTTAAGATGAGGTTTTAGAGGAAGTTAATACTGCCAATGAATGGTGCCAGCTAGTGGCCCTTAATAGATAGTTGCAGAAGAGAACCAGAGGCTAATACATACAGCTGCCTCCAGTGAAGCAACAACCCTCCATCCTGTGGATGGAACAGGTAGATCCTTGTTTCTGCCTTTGCAATGAACCGTGTGGCAGAGTTGAACAGATATACCAGGGGAAATATTTCATGCCAAGGGCTACCATCTAGTCAGTTGTTTAAGGAATTATAATGGTGCATTTTTCATTGAGGTCCAATATGTTGACTCTTATATAGCTCTTCTGATCTGCTTTATCACAAGAGAACTGTTAAAGTATGAACTATTCATTTGTCCACTTCTTTTTCAGGACCAGGACTTGCATTCATTGCCTATCCAAAAGCTGTCACCATGATGCCTCTTTCTCCACTGTGGGCAGCTTTGTTTTTCATGATGCTTATATTCCTTGGATTGGATAGTCAGGTATGAATTAAACATCATGCAAATATTATATCAGATCCTCAGCATGTATACATTAGCATAGTTTCAGTGAAGTGAGAGGAGGTATGCAAGTTTACAACTGAGGAAGATCATGGAGCTGGGCAGGGAACAAGCCCCCAGCCCGTTCCTCCCTCCCCCAGTCCCACACTCACGGAGCTGGGCTGGGAACAAGTGTCACAGCCTTTACCTGGTGTGCAGGGCTGCCCCAATCTACTAGTGGGGCAGCTAGAAGTGAGCTAGCTGCTGGCTGCCCCGCCGGTGGATCGGGCAAGGGGGCTGGGACCAGCCTCTCCCCTGCAGCTCTTTCTAAGTCTCCTGCCCCTGATTGGGGAGCCAGGGCCAGGTGCTTGCTGCTGCTGGGACAGGGGGACATTGTCCCCACCCCAGCAGCAGGCAGCTGTCTCCTGGCCACATGCTCCCTGCCAGCCCCTAGGCTACCACCTTGGGGGAGCCTGGAGCTCCCCCCTGTTGCAGCAGGGCCCATTGCAGGGCTGCAGAAAATGGTGCAAATCTGCTCTGTAATCCCTCTATAGATGCCTGCCCAAAAATGCTTATTCCGGATTAGTTTACACCAGAGTAAATCTAGGCCAGAGTCAATGCATGTGTAGACATGCCCACTATGTAGCATTGGTTAGGATACTTAACTTCTCTACTTAATGTTTCTCAACTGTAACATGAGTCAAACAAGCACTAACTATCCTCAACAGGCTTTTGAATATGAGTAAGTTAATACATGTGTGAAGGCACAGGGAAGTTATTGTCCTTTTGCGTGACAGTACAGCTAGGGAGAAATTTCTGTGAGCACTTTGGAATGCCTCTACACTATTTAAGTTAATGTAAACCCTTCTATGTAGACTATGAACTACATATGGCCTGTGGGCCAGATCCAGGCCACTGAGCCATTGGAGTCCACCACTTGAGCCAGGGAGCTTTAGCTGCACCACAGCTGGACATCAGGGAGGCTTTGTCTCCACTGCAGCCTGACATCAGGAAAAACCAGCAGTGAAAATAGTATGTCAGAAGTACTAGTTTGCTGGAGACCACAGCCGATTTCAGTCATCCCACCACTGCAGAAGCATGCTAACTGCTGATGTATATTCAAATATGGTGCTGGCCATCTGCTAGTACCAAAATGGTTTTTACCTTTTAGAATGTGGATACAGACTGCAAATCTAAGGAGTTTCAACTTCTGGCTGTGGGATCTTTTCCTTCTCAAACTTTTAGGATTTTCTTTATACAACATCCTCAAGGATTGTTCAGTCTCTCTTTGATAGAAACACAGAAGGGCACTTGGTGAGTTCTGTAGCAAATCAGAATCCCCAGAATAGAAGAGACGTGTATTTTATTTGTACATGTTGTTGTTTCTTCCAGTTTGTGTGTGTTGAAAGCCTTGTGACAGCTGTGGTGGATATGTACCCAAAGATTTTCCGAAGGGGATACAGAAGAGAACTGTTGATTCTTGCCCTTTCAATTGTGTCATACTTCATTGGCCTAATAATGTTAACAGAGGTAAGATACCCTTTGATTCACTTCAGAGCTACAGCCAAGTGTCATAGAATCATAGAAGAGTAGATCTAGAAGGGCTATCAAGAGGTCATCTAATCCAGCCCCCTGCTCAAGGCAGGATCATCTCTGTGTAAACCATCTCATGCAAGTGGCTGTCTAACATGCTGTTAAAAACTTCCAGGGATATAACTTCTTCAACTTCTCTAGGTAATCTATTCCAATACTTAAACTAACAGTCCTAGCAAGAAATTTCTTGCTAATACCCAATCTAAAATTTCCCTTGTTACAATATAAAATTGTTACCATTTGTCTTTTTGACTGTGTCGGCAGAGAATAGTCTATTCCCATCCTTTCTATAACCATCTTTCAGATTTAGAATCTCCTTTCAATCTCCCCTTCTCCAGTACTTCAAACCATTTCTCATAAATCACATTTCATGGACTCCTAATCATTTTGGTTTCTTTCCACTCAACTCTATAACTGGTCTATATCTTTCTTGAAGACCAGTGCCCAAAAATGGACACAGAAATTTAGACAAGGCCTACCAGTACTGAATAGAGCAGAAACATCACTTCCTTGATTTGCCAGTAACACCCCTGTTAATATTGCCTACCATGCCACTGAACTTTTTTGAAAAAAGAGAACGCCGTTAGCTTGTATGCAGCTTAATGTCCACTATAGCTCTCAGCTCCTTGTCTTCGTACTGCAGCCTAAATAATCATTCCTGACTGTAATTATATGTGCACTTTTGTCCTTATTGAATTTAATTTGATTAATTTTGACCATTTTTCCAGTTTTACAAGGTCATCTTGAATCTAATCCTTTATTCCAAAGTTTCAGCAATTCTACCCAGCTTAGTTTCATCTACAAAATTACCAACTGTGTACTCAATCCTGTCTTCTGAATCACTAATGAAGATTTTAAACTGTACTGGGTGCAGGACAGACCCCCAGGGAACTCTATACAATATCTCCTTCCAAATGGACATTCAGCCATTGAAGCCTTCTAATTTAGCGTGATGACCCAACCCCTTATGTATCCACCTGTGACAGCACTGGGCCCCAGGGATAACCATGACACTCTCTGGTGGCCACTCAACTCCTGCCCCACTATTGGTCCTCAGTTACCCCCCTTTTTCTCTTAGATGCCACAACTTGATGGAATGACTTTTTGTGTGCATGTGTTAAAGAGAGAGTTCCCCAGGTTCCCAGGGTGAGCCCTCTTTCATTTGGCCAGCAGGTCCCTCCTGTACCTGGCTGACTCTAGTCCTGCCCCTCAAGGATAGAATTGGAGCCCTCCTGGCCCTGTCAGTGTCTTACAGGCTATTCATGACCTCCTTCCACCTCTCTAGCCACACCTGTGCCTCACAGATGTTATTCAATGTTCATTTGGAGAGCACCTCAGCCTGTCCAGCCTTGGCCCCTTTATTCTGGTTGTGCCCTTCAGCCCAGGTCCACTGTCCTGGAACATAGCTTCTGGACTCCTGACTCCTGTCTTGTGCTCTGAGCCAACCCTCAGGCCTTCTGGGTCCCCAACCCCAGGCTGGGCTGTTCTCCCTGTGGGTCTCCCAGCCTTGGCCCAACTCACTCAGTCCTTAGCTGTCTGAGTCCCTGACCCCAGGCTAGGCTGCCTGCCACCAAGTGTCCCACCAGGAACTTCTTTGTAGCCACAACCTGGTCCTTCTCAAGCTCAAAACAAAATAAATGCAAGCAAGCTGCTTCAGAAACTAGAAGTTTTCCCCACTCATAGATTCATAGATTAGGGTCGGAAGGGACCTTGCAGATCTTCTAGTCCGATCCCTTGCCCTGGGCAGGAGAGAAAACTGGGCTCAAATGACCCCAGCTAGGTAATCATCAAGCCTCCCAAGGTAGGAGCCAGCACTACTTCCCTTGGAAGCTGGTTCCAGAGTTAATGCTGCCTGCAAGTCAGACCTCCTTTGAAGCCCTCTGATTCCACCTTCCCTGGGTGGCTTGGTCTCTGGCAGTCTTTTTGTCTCAGAAGCGCCTCTCCCTGAAGCATACAGGGCCGGACTGCCTGCCTGGCCTCAGGCACTGGGCTTATGTGCGCTGAAGACCCACCCCCTCCTATAAGGTGGCTCCCTAGCAATGTGCATGGGTTTCCACTTGGACTTGATGACCAGCTTGCCGTCCTCTGCTGCTGCAGCCAGCTGCTCTTGCCTCTTAAAGTAACAGGGGCCTTGGACCACCTTACAGTACTTTAGTCTAGTCTGTAATTCCTTAGCTTACTAATGACAAAATGTCATGGCAGATGGTGTCAAAAGCCTTGTTAAAGTCAGGTTGTAATGGTATAGCACATCCAGTGCTCTTTTCCCATCCACATAGCCTGTCATCTTGCTGTAAAAGAAAATCAGTTTCTCAAGCCTGACTTGCTCTTGGTGAATTGCTGCTGGCCACTCCTGATCACCTTGGTATCCTGTAGAACAGGGCTGCCCAGCTTGTAAGTGGAGAGGAGTTACAAGCTGCACAATCTGCTCCAGTGGGGGCCAGGTGCCCCTGAGGCCAAATACTGAGTGGGTGTATCACCCCTCTCCCATACCACACTACACACTGATGCCACACACTCCCCACTATGTTCAAGTCTTCCAGTGTCCATATTGTGCTTCTTTCCTTTCTTCTTTGCCTGAAGATTTTGAATTATATCATAGCATCATCACTACTATTCAGATTGCCTCCCATCTTCACATTATCAACCAATTCCTCCTTGTTTGTGAGCAGCAAGTCAAGAAGAGCTTCTCCCCTAAGAGAGTTGGCCTCTCCTTCACCTGTACCAAAAAGTTCTCTCTCCACCACCTTAACCACCTTCAACTTTATGGCAGTACTAAATCTTCCCAGTATTTGTGGTGCATGGCTTCACCTTTTTTACCAATGGAGTGTAGGTCCTTCTTTTCTAGTACAAGGGCTTTATAGGTGTTGTTTACTTGAATGGCTGGGGCCTCAGAAAAGGAATGCTGTCTGCTGCCAGTAGTAACAAGCTACCAATTTCCTCTTTCCTGAGACTCCAGCTCTTCCTTGCTCTCATTCTCTGGCTGACCCGCTTCTTCAGTCCTGCAGATCTTCCAGACCTTGTGTTCACTGATGTTTCTTAGCATAGCCATTTCTTCCTGCAGCCTCCTTACCTGGTTCCTGAGGGAATCCACCAGGAGACACGTCTCACACTGCAGGCACTCTCCCATCTACCTATCTTCTGCAGTGACAAAAGCAGCCTGTACTCCTTTTAATGCCACACCGGGATCTAGGTGGAAGCCTTTGTCGCCCCTGGACAGAGCCTGAACAGGTACAGGCACAGGGGCAGTGGTTGTGGCTTTGCTGTTATGATGCCTTCCAGACATCTGGCAATGGGGGCATTTGCTCTCCTGCTATCTCCTAGAATGTCCTTTTTCCTTTCTTGCCTGCTGCTGTTCAACAAGCTTACAGTGAAAAAATGCTGGAATGCAGTTTGGCAGCCCCCTGCCCCCACTGCAAACTCAGGTAGATGACCTGTTGTCAGCAATTCTTGGATTAATGGGAGTGTGCAGCAGTTCTGAATGGTGACTTTATCTAAGACTCTATAGTCCACACAGCTGAAGCAAGCCATCCTTCTTTGGTTAAGAAAACTAGGTTCCTGGGTGGAGACATGGAGGGCCTAATGAACCCTTTTGGAGGTTCTCCTTGATATACTCCTTGGGGGCCTTGAGTTCTAGTTTGAGGAGGGATGTGTCCAAAAGGGATTTGTGTACCTGACACAACGTCAGCGAGGCAATCATATGAGTGATGTGGGGGAAGTTGTTTTTCCCCCTTCTTATCAAACACGTCAGCCAGGTCCCAGTACTTTGCAGGGAGAGATAGGTCACTGACTGTCAGACTGGAACACTCCAGTGGCTCAGGCTGCATTCCCTCTGCAGATGGAGCGAAGAGCCTAGCAGTTTTGGGCCTGATCTGCATCCTAACCTGGGACACTTCCCTGAAAACTTGTCCATCTACAGTAAACAGAACGAAATCAGAGTTCCCTCTGCCAACCACAGAATATTGAGGTTATGGTATGACAGCCACGGTGTACCCACAATGGTTAAAAAGTCAGGGGAATTAAATAAATAGAAAACAAGGAGCTCCCAGTGTTCTCCTGTATTTCCAGGGAGACCATTTCCTGGGTCATGGGGCCCAGAGGGCAGGGTGAACTGTTCACTGACTCTGCTATATCAGCAGTCTGTTTCAGCCTAACTGTATGGCAAAGGCTGAGACCATAAAATTCCCCAAGGCCCTTGTGTCCAAGAGGGCCAGCTGGGATATGTCAGCTATAGTCAGATGCTGTAGGCAGAGGGGAACTAGCAAAGGGGAATCTTAGTCTCTTGCAGTGATATGGGTTCTGGTACACATCAGAAGGACTAAATGAAGAATAGGCAGCTGGTTTTGGTGTTGTGATGCCTTCCAGACATCTCACTGATTGTTCTTCTGCTTCCTCCTAGAAATTCCTTCTTCCTCCCAACCTGCTACCCTCTACTAAAACTGGGCTGGTTGGTTTCCTGACAGTGAGTTGGAGGGACAGATCTGAGGAAAGTTCCCAGCCTTCTCACAGCAGAGGCAGAGACCTTCTGAATATCATTCCCCTTTTCTTTTGGGGACAGCCTCTTTCTTATTGTCTCTATCTCCATTGGCTCCACTAGTGGTAGTGTAGACACTTCTGGGTTCCTGGCAGGTCCTAGAGGCTGGGGTGTGGCCCACTTGTCTTACCGATGTTCTGACAGAAGAACAGCAATTTGAATATAAAAGTCAGTAAGCCCGTCCAGGGTTGGCAGAAGCTCAACTTGAGTTAGCTCATCCTGGATATCCTCATGGAGCTCCTGCTGTAAATGAAAGTGCTGAGCTGCCTTATTCCATTCTGTATCTGTGGGTAGGTGCCTAAATTCATCAGCATAAATGGACACAGAGTGATGGACCTGACTTGTGTATTTCACCATGTATGTCATGCACAGATCCCTAAAGATTCCAGCTATTACTTCAATAAAGGCTTGAGGACTCCAAGAGCAGGGAGACCCAGGACAGGGCATATCAAGTCAGGAGACTGATTATCAGCCCCAACCTGGCAACATCTGAGGTTTATGTTCTGTGGCACGGTCAGAAAGCTAGGCAACATTGATTAATGAATCCCCAGAAGCCATAGGGGTCCCCATTGAATTTATCTGCTAGGGGAATCTTAGGTTCATGGTTTGCTGGAGGGACTAGTTGAACAGCCAAACCTGGGAGAGGGGTGCTCAGGGCTTTCAGGCCTGTGGTTGGGCTTCAAAATCTTGAGGTGCAACCAGCAGGTCAGCCCCAGAGATATGATCCAGTGGCTGCTTCATCCTGCCACAGCCTCACCAAGTTATAAATTGGCAGCTGAACAAGCTGTCAGAGTGCACAGAGGCATTATGCCTAGTAGTTAGAATGGGGAAGCATTACCAGCATCTGTAGTCAGGGGGCAAGCTGAGGTCAAACCGGGGCTCATGCACAGGCATAACCAGAAGTAGTTGTCAGGAAGAGAGTCAAGATCAAACTGGGTTCAAGCAACATAGGCAGTGATACTGAAGTCACACAAGCGAGAGCTAGGCCTGTGCGAGGTGACTAGTATTCGCTTCAGATTCAGATTTGGCTGATTCAGGGGACAGCGATTTGATTAGGTGATTCAAATCACTATCCCAAATCAATTCATCTGAATCACCCAGACCCATCCCCTGCCCGCTCTCCCAGATCAGCAATGGCCGCACTGCCCGCCCCAGCTCCTGGCACTTGGGGGGAAAAGAAGCCCCAGTTCACTGGGTGCTGCTGGGTCAACCCACCCTGCTCCCCCAGTCACCCCCATGACTGCCCTGCCTGCCCCAGCTCCGGCCCTTTAAAAAACAAAACAAAACAGAAATCCCCCAGACTCACCATTCCTGCCCAGCAGGGATGATCCTCACTGCCCCCCGCTGAGTGGGGGCTGGGATAGCAGGCAGGGATGGGGCCTGGCAGGGGTCCCCCCATGGTTCCCTTTCCATTCCTCCAGCCCCTTACCAGCTCTGAGTCCCACCGGGGGCTGTCCGAAGCATTGAAGCTCTCCAAATCTTTTCTGAAGATTTAGAGAGCTTTGAATCAATTCAGACCTTTTAATTGGTCCCCTGATTCGATTTGGAATTGGAAATTTGACCACCGAATTGGGCTGAATCTCCTCTGAATCAAATCAACACCCAAAGCTTTGCACAGCCCTAGTGAGAGCTATACACATACTGAAGCCATTTTGTAGCACAGCAGGGCCCAAGTGCTGCAAGAGCTCCTTAAAAGCATCCCTAAAACCAATCAGCCAGCTGAGGCTCAGGTGGCCTTTCTGAGGAGGTTGAGTGTTGCTGACCTAGTTACTCAGCTGCAGTGAAGAGGCCTTGCATAAACAGACAAAAGTCACCATTCAAGTAAAAGTACAGCATAGTCCAAAGAATGTTCTTAGCTTTTAGTCAACATTTGAAAAACAGCACTGATTTGACGGATAATCTTGGTAACTATTTTAACCAGTGATTTGTAGGCATGAAAATGCCAAAGACTCTATATCATCCCTCTGCTCATCCTATCATTTCTCCCCAGACACTCCATGCTAATCCCATCTGATATGAGGTATTTTAATATTGGCAGCCATCCCCTCCAGTATCAGAGCAATGGTGAATAAACCAGTACAGAATATCTGGTAAAACTAAAATGAATATTAGTGTTCATTTAACTTTCACTTAAAAACATCAAAACAAGACCTCAAGCAGAAGAATAAAAAATACAGACACAAAAGTCACCTATACATGTGCCAGATGTCTGTTCTGATACGTGCCAATTAGCACACAACAGAGCAGACTCATTTAATTGAGTTTGCTGGAATATGTTAATTAATGCACTCCAGCAGTCTCCGCTTCTTGTCTATTCAGTGTCACCATGCTTCAAAATGGCAATGGAGGCATTTTAACTAAAGCTCGTCAAACAAGTTTTAGTTCAAGTGCTCCTGCCACCATTTTGAAATGCAGAATACTGAATACATGTGACACTGCTGGGACTTTAATTAAAGCAGCTATCGGAGACATTCTGATTAAAGTGCCTCCCCCCTCCCACCCTGGAGCTTGTGAATAGACACCCAAAATGGGTAACACCTGGCTGGATGACAGCATTACAGAGAGGGATCTAAAAGTCTTGGAAGATCAGAGACTCAGTAAGAGTCTGCAGCTGCACAAAAGGCAAGTGCAGATTTGGGCTACATCAATAGAAGCATTAGGTGCAAGATATGGGAGGTGATAGTGCCTGTTTACTCAACGTTGGTTCGGCCTCATGTAGAGTATTTCGTGCCTTTTTGGCTGCATATTTTTAAAAGGACATGGAGAAGTTAGGGTTCCAGAAATGAGCAACAAAAATGATAAAGAACTTGGAAGGTAAGTCATCCAGGAAGAGGCTGAAGGAGCTAGGGATGTTCAACTTGTGGAAAAGGCACTTTAGAAGTGAGATGATAATAGTCTTCAAATATCTAAAGGGCTGCCATAAAGAAGAGAGAGAACACCTCATACCATGGGTTGAAGTTGCAGCAAAGTATGTTTAAATTGGATATCTGGAAAAATTTCTTCATTGTTAGAACAGTGAGGCTGTGGAATAGACTGCCTAAGGACATTTTAGGAAGTGGTTGGATACAAATTTGTCAGGGATGATCTAGGAGGAACTATGCCTGTGGTGCTCTGTAAAGAACAATAGACAGATTGCTTGGAAATAATGAGAAATGCTCTTCAGCCTAAAGCAGTTAGATATTGGAGAGAACCATGCTCAGCAGCAGGAGAATAAAGCAAAGATCCACAACAGGCTTAGGTTGAAAGAGTATTAAAGGAGCTGGAATAATTTTACAGAGGAGATACAGAAAGGGAAGCTCAGACTGTCCAGTAAGAGAGTGTGATGTCGGGCATTATTCTTGCTGTGTCCAGATTGAAGCCAGAATGTAAGGTGTTTATTTTTAACCTGTGCTTCTGGGATGTCCTTGTTGCCATGTGGGATAGGGATGAAATATTTTTCCTCCTGCTGCTACAGGTGCTGGGGAGGAGGTCAGGGGCTGTGCCTTCCTCAGCAGCTTTGGGTGGAGGGTCAGATTGATCACCACGTTTGGGATCAGAAAGGAATTTTACCTCATGGTCAGAATGATAGGGACTTTGTGGGAGGGGTTTGTCTTCCTCTGTTAAATTGAATGGATGACCATAGGTGGTGGAAGGAGGGTGCTAACTGGGCTTAGCCCCGCCAAATGTGGGGCAGTGGTAGGGCTACAAGGCAGCCCGGCCAAGGGTTTCTGGCCGCTTCAGCAGGGGCAGAGAGGGAGTGGGGCTGGGGATGGAGCTAGGGGAGGGGCAGGCACTGCACAGCTGGTGGGCACAGGACTGAGCCATGAGCAGCTCGTCGGGCAGGGGGAGGGGGTGGCTCCTGCTACACCCCAGGAAGCATGGTGGGCATATGCCCCTGAATTTTGTGGGGCAGGACAGGCTGCTGCTGGGGCTGGGGCTTTGTCAGCGGCACTGGGAGGGGGCTACAGGATGTGTACAGCCACCCCAAAATTTGCCATAGTCCCCCCTGAGCCCCTTCCTAGTGCCACCACTGCCCACCCCAGTGGAGCTCAGACCCCGCTTCGGGGAGAGCCTGGTACTGCCCCGGCCCCAGCCCGCAGCAGCAGCCCACCCTGCCCCACACAGATCCAGAGGCACATGGCTCCTGCGATGCATGCAGCAGCGGGAGCTGCCACCCCCTCCCCGCGCACTGAGATGAGCCACGGCTTCATCCTGTGCCACGGGATGGGTGCAGGCATCCCAAAGGCTCCGTCCCCTCCAGCCCAGTGGCAACCGAGGCTGGCTGCACTCTGGCCCTTGGATCCGGGGCCCCCCGGGCAGTGTGGGTGTAGGGCCGGGGCTGGGGCTGGTGTGGGGAGACAGCTGGGGCTAGTGCAGGGCTAGGGGGTGGCAGATTCAGTAGTATGGGGAGTGTCAGGAATAACCCCAGGCACAGGGA